AAGAACACTTGCCTAGAATGTGTAAGGCCCTGAGTTCCAACCCCCAGACCAAGATTACAAAGAAGGCACTAAATGGGAAGTGTAAAAACAGACTAGATACTAAATGATACCCAGCTACAGTTAATTTCCTTAGGCATGATAACACTGAAGAAAACCGTCTTTATTCTCAGGAGAAGCTGCTGGAGTAAGGAGAAAGGGACATGGTCATTTCAAAGAGTTCACCCAAAAGACTGTGTACAGATGGACACATGTGAGGGTCTGTCTAGACACACATACACTGATGGACACAGGAGAACATACAGGCTTGGACAGCTTGGTCCATATATCTAATGATAGTTCTACATAGTGAGACTCTGTCCTTTAAAAAAAAAAGGAGGGGTGGGGGGAGCTAGAGAGATGGCTCAGTGGTTAAGAGCACCGACTGCTCTTCCAGAGGACCTGAGTTCAATTCCCAGCACCCATATGGCAGCTCATAACTGTCTAACTCCAGTTCCAGGGGACCCAACACCCTCATACAGATATATATGCAGGCAAAACACCAATGAAGCCAGGCGGTGGTGGTGCACGCCTTTAATCTCAGTACTTGGGAGGCAGAGCCAGGCCGATCTCTGTGAGTTCAAGGCCAGCCTGGTCTACAGAGTGAGATCCAGGACAGGCACCAAAACTACACAGAGAAACCCTGTCTCCAAAAAGCAAAAAACAAAACAAACAAACAAAACCAAAATAAACACCAATGCAAATGAAATAAAAGTAAAATATTAAAAAAGAAAAGTTTATCTGGAGAGTCTAACTTGACAATGGGAAGAACAAAACGCAGTCCGCAGCGCTGAATGAGGGAGACGGTAAATGATCTGTATGGTCTGTCCCTGAAAACAGGAAGAGACCATTACAGGTTCCTGACTCAATATCTGCCCTTGAGGGCAGAAGGCTGCAAGTCCTAAAGGGTAGAGAGGAGAGGGCTGCTGACCGACACAGCTAGTGGAAGGTCAGGACACGTAGTATCATCATCGAGAGAGAGAGAGAGAGAGAGAGAGAGAGAGAGAGAGAGAGAGAGAGAGAGAGAAGAAATGACCAAGTCAACGGTGAATACGCCTCACCGAGGCAGCTGAGACAGCTGTGTTGTAGGCTCCCAGGTATCCCTGCCCACCTCCTCCCCAGCAGGAAAATATAAATAGTGCTCAATTTACCTGTGGCTGGCCACGCCAGGAGGCCTGGTCACATGGCTGGGCAAGCTGCAGTAACCACCCAGCACACTCAGGAGCATGGGAGGGCACACAGGTTACTGGCTTGCTACACTTCACTAGCTTGGACTCTGTCAGGATCCGCTGCTCTTAGCTTTGGTTTTTGGTGCATTCTGCTCTGGGCTGGGCGACGGACACTTACAAGGGACAAAGGCTCAGTTAGGTTCCTCAGAACCGAGAATGTCCGTCACCGAATCTGCTCTGCCCCATCCGTGAAAACCTGTGTGAAGGGTTTGGGGGAGCAGCTGAGTAGCAGAGCATCTGCCCAGCATGTCTGAGGCCCTGGGTTCAATTCCCAACACTGCCAAAAACAACTGTGAACTACCTCGTCCCACTTGCAGACAGTCCGGTCGGTCGTCTCTTCACTCCAGCTCTATTTCACGTCCCCAGCTTCACAGGGGAGACACCACAAAGACTTCTACATCCGACCCCGTGAATCCCTACCTGGGCCCTGACCTTCTGGAACTGAACTGGAAATAAATGGCAAATTACCGTGCTGTGCCTGGGCTGTGGAAAAACCCCAAAGTGTGCTGGGAGACATTCCAGGGCAGCCCCTGCTCTGAAGCCCTGGTCTTGCCACGCCAGTTGTTCAGATTTCCTAAGAGAGGCGCAAAGGTTATACGGTGCCTCCAGGGTAAGCCAGCCTGAAAAGCAAGGCTGGATGTTTGGAGCCTAGAGGACAGCAGGGAGGAGAAGGAAGCAGCCAAGGGCTTGTTCCCGGGTCACCTCTCCACATGCAGCTTCCAGAGGCAGAGGTAGGTGACAAACCAGATCTTCTCCCGCATGCTGCTTCATGGTAATGTCACCTTCTATAAGAGAAGGCTTGTCTTACTGATAACAGAAGGATAATTGGATCCAGGGAAACAGTATGGGAGATTAATCACCCATATGCCCTATCCCAGCTTCTGAGACCCAGAAGGCAAGTTCAGTTAGTCTTCTTTTTAAGCAGACAGCTCTATTATCTGCACAGTGGCTCCCACACAGACATCTAAACTCCAAACAACCCCCTAGGAATTGGGGGTAGCCTTATTTGACTCTCCTCCTCCTTGCTGGTTGTCAACCACCCATCAGTTATTTTGGGTCAGGACAAAGCCAGAATAGTGGAAGATATAGGCAGATATACAAAGAGGGTCACGGAGGGAGTCTATATAACTTGATCACTTCCTAAGGACAAGCGGCGGCACTCACATAGTAAAGGCCCACAGGTCTACTTCACATAGCTGGCTGGGTCATGAAATAATCCTTTTAGGACAGCTTAATTACAGCCAGTGACAGCAAGCACCTCAGATAAAAGATGTTCACCAAAACTGAAGATGTCCGGAAAACTGCCTTTTTAAAAAAGATTTACTTTTATTTTTAACTATGGGTGTACTTGTGTGTCTGTGTGTGGGTTTGTGCATGTGCATACAGGTGCCTGGAGAAGCCAGAAGAGGGTGTTGGACCCCCCGGAACTGGAGCTACAGGTGGTTGAGAGCTCCCCAACGTGAGCACTGGGAACTGAATTTGGATCGTCTATAAGGGCGGCAAGCGCTCTTCACCCGAGTCATCTGTCCAGCCACAGAAAACTAACTGCCCCCTCCCCACCAGGTTATATAGAGTCGTGCTAAGTGTGGTGACACAGATCTGCAATCCCAGCAATTGGGGGGGGGGCAGAGGCAGGGGGATTGCACACTCTACAACAGCCTGGGCTACACAGTAAGAATCTGGCTCAACTGACCAAAATAAGTAGAAGAGGGTTCACTCATTCCCTGCAGCATAAACAAAACCACAAGAATGGCTGAATGCCCTTAGGGAGCACAGGCAGAGCGCTGAAGTGGTTTGAAGTGGGAGGAAAGGGTGGGATACAGCATGGGCTGTCTGTTCCTCTAACCTTGCTTAGTAGTCCCAGACCCAGCCTCCTTGGGCCTGGAGTTAAGGGAAGGCTAGACCAAAGGGTGCTTCCTTTAGAGTCAGCTATAACTCCTGTCCCACTTGGTACAACGTCCTGCATTTAACCACACCAGCTCCCCTGAGGCCTACCATATTCACAAGGCAGAGGGTACAATAACTGCCTAGTATATGTCACAGAAAAAGCCATCTGGCCCGGGCCCATACCCTGGCACCACTTTCTGAGCCAAACTCACTGATTTGCCCCACTGACTTCTCCTATATAAATGGCACGCATGAGTCTTCTAATTCCGAGTATTTTAAGAAGTGAAGAGCTAAGTGACGAGCAGAGGAGAGTGGAAGAGTGCTTCATCTTCTAGAGAGGAGGCATGTTCCTCCAGAAGACACCGGACATGCAGAGCAAGCTCAGCGTGGGATCACATCTGTAACAGCATGCTGGGGTAACCCTGCCGACTATGATGCTGGGTCAACATGGAGCAAGGGCCGCATTTGCAAACACAGAAACTGGCCCCCAGTCGGTTCCCAGGTCTAATACCAATCTATCCAATTGGGGAAGGGCGAGCTGCAGTCTCCTGAAAGGCAACCTAACACAGAGGCAAAATTCTGACTTCACCCCAGGATGGTATGTGAACTCAAAACAGGTCCATAACTTCTTGGGTATCAACTGTTCCATCTGTTAAGTGGGGAGAATAAGAGACATTACAAACATGTAGAAGCAACCTGATAGTCGGATTAGTCTAGTATTTATTGGTTAAATGTTTATTTGGAAATGATTTGAAACTGATTGCTCAAGAACAAGTATACAGCGCCAGGTGATGCACGCCTTTAATCCCAGCACTCAGGAGGCAGATGATCTGAGTTGGAGGCCAGCCTGGTCTACAGAGCGAGTTCCAGGACAGCCAGGGTTACACAGAGAAACCCTGTCTCAAAACAACAACAATAAAAAGAATAAGTACACAGGATACATACATAATCTTTACCCAGATCTGCCCACCAACACACATGCCAATTGCTTTACTGATGGCTTGCTGTCACATGCATTTTACACATGCTCACATACTTTCCGACACTCATACTTGACACCCACAGGTTTGCTCAAAATGTGCGAGAGAGAGAGAGAGAGAGAGAGAGAGAGAGAGAGAGAGAGAGAGAGAGAGAGAGAGAG